TGTATATATAAAGCATGGAACCACTTGCTCCCACAGTTGTTCCAGTGCTTTTAACTTTCATGTTTTTTCCCCTTGCTGAAACAAGATCTTGAGTATTTGGTTTAATCATGTTTCTGCGTCATATCATGTGCAGATGATGAACGGCTGACATTCAGGGGGAACTCCCTGGCAACAAAGGCAATGGAGGCATACCTGAAACTGACAGGTGATCGGTACCTGCAGGAAACTCTTGGCGAACTCGTGAGTTGTGTACTTAGCTCAGGGCAGGACTGTGAAGTTGACCCATTGAAGGTGGCCAATGTAGCAGCCCTACGCAAACAGCAGGACAACTTAAGGGCCGCAGTGGAACTGGCATGGTCCCGCATCTTGAGTTCTCACCAGGCTTTCCCCGTGTTAGTACTTCCCCATATTTAATGTGATTTTTGTGGGCAAGAAAGCAGTTTGGAATTATTTATGAAATTTTCATCTTATTAATCTGGGTTTCATTATTACCCATTATTGACGTTTTGATGGGTGGTCATGGCAATTAAAATGTGCCATTGAGAGCCTATACATAGTCAGGCCCCATATCTGGCATCCCAAAAACTGGTAAGACCTGAAATCCATATTTATTTCTGGCGATTTTTTCTGGCAGCATTTTCATGTTTAAAACTGGTGCTTTGTGGTTTTTTGACTCGACACCATGTGCGACTGGCACCACTGTCAACGGTCTTCTTAGTGCTAGTAGAAGGTAGCTCGCATTTATTTTGTACATATGAAAAGTTGTCTGTGTAAAGATTTTTTAAAAAAAAGGGCAAAAAAAACTTCGATCCCAAGCGTTTTATATTAAGGGTCTGGTACTGTACTTTGCTTTCGGTACAGTGCGCACACACTCATAATATGCTTGATGTTGGGATGTCTGTCACTTGCTGCTATCTTAGATTATTTGGTAAAAGAGATGAATAATTGTGTACTCTCTGGATTTTCTAGTTGCAAAAGAAATGAAACACAATAGGTCTTTGAAAGATATTGTAGCGATTCAGTTCAAAGGAAGCAGTAATTTTACTGTTAAAGAATTAAATGTGTTGTGGACCAAACTATGTGTGTGAACTGAAACTGTAAATGCGAAATACCTTACTGTATGAGTCTGGAGGATGGTGAGGAATCTTACCAGTGAGAGGACTGACATAAGATTTTAATTTTTATGCTGTTTACTGTGAAATGACTGTAATTGAAGAATGGTACTGCAGTTGGTGTAGATTATTCTTGTTCTGTGTGAAGTCTGGTGCTGCCACTTCTTTTAAATGTAGTAAAATTTCATAGTCCACAAAAGATAGTGCAAGGAAACTTGGGTTCGAATTAATCATGTTTCATTTTAGACAATTTTTATGTTTGTGATATGAAAATTGTGTGCATTGTAATTGTCACTTTTCATTGTTCATGTACTTAACTTCTCAGCTGCAAATTTCTATAAGTAAATTTTTATCTAGAAAATTGATTTAATGTGTGTGCAGAATACAAAACTGGGTTATTCTATTCGAGTCGCCAGTAAGAATAAATCTGTTTGAGGGCAGTTGCACATTAGTCATACTTCTTACTGTGCAGCTGGAGGAACATGGCTCTAATGAGATTACTGTGTGTTGTAGGGAGTTGCGCGAATGTTTCCACACATTCCGAGAGCGTCTTGCAGCCATGGGACGAGAGGACATTAGTGATAATCTCATCTCAGCCTCCATTTTCTTGCGCTTTCTCTGTCCAGCTATTCTGTCTCCGAGCCTGTTCAACATCACACATGGTAGGTGATCACAAAAAAAGGGCAAAGTGCGCAAAATTAACACGTAGAGGAACAATAAGTCTGTTGCAGCCATCTGCCCACAACACTTTGACAATTTTTCTGAAATTTGATACTGGAAGTCTGCACTAAAATCTATTTTATAAATTTAATTTTTGTGTGTGTTTGTCCAATATAATCATTTTTTTTTTGTGAAGCAAGAAACTTTTGTGATACATATAAAATAGTGTATGATATACAGTATACATGTGATTTGAAGTCTAGAAAGTGTAATTTTAAACAGTTCTTGATGTGGTATATATGTGGTAAAATATAAAGAAAAATAAGGTTATCCATTTATGAGTTTTGAGGAGTTACATGATTTTCTTGTGGAAGCAATGATTTAGAAAAAATCTGTATTTCATATTCGAGTACCCCTTTTCCCCTCATCATTACATTTCTAAATATGTATCCTGTGGAATACGTGATTGTGTGATGGAGTAAGTGGTCAGTTGCTGTGTGAAGTTGCAGCATTATGGTACATTTAATAAATTACATTTGAGCTAGAAGGGGGAGCTTACAAGTTGTACAGACGTGCAAAGTGGAAAACTGCATGTTCCAAAAATTCCAGTATAGTGGTTAGGTCTGCTGCTGTGTATTTGAGAGAGACAATTTTCAAATTAAGCATGAAAACAGGATTTTGACTGGATTCAAGTGTTCCTCAATCCCTCCTGGAAAATACTGGTGCAGTCAGTACCATAAAGTAGACCATAATAATTCCCTTTTATGCCGTTCCCCGTTTATCATACTGAATGTCCTGTCATTTGATATGATATGCAGTCAATAAAATATATTCCGCTGAATTAAACCAAGAAAACAACATACATTAGAACTATGTGAAAATTCAAAGGGATTATTTAAAAAATTATGTTTTATTTGATGACCCTACAATAACCCTGTAACATCAGTACTTTAAATTCAAGTTGTTGCAATATCAGACAGATGCAGAATTATCATATTAAATGCTTCAGCTTCCAGAATTGCTGTTGCCTGTTCAATTTTTCTGTTTCATAGGACAATCCCACATAAGTTTTCTTCCTGTGTAAGACATTGACATTTCATGGTCCGGTAATTTTGTCCACAAGGTAAATTTTTTTTCTCCAAAAAGAGGTTCCTGCATAATAAGATTTACGGTGAAAAGTGTTCAAGATTTGAAAATATTTTTCATTAAACTTGAACTCAATTTTGATAATTGTAATGTTACAGAATATCCAAATGAAAAGGCTGCACGTAATCTCACTCTTGTGGCCAAGACATTACAGACATTGGCCAACTTCACGCGTTTCCAAGGAAAGGAGAACTTCATGGAATTTATGAATGACTTTCTGGAACGAGAAGCTCCATCAATGAAGAACTTCTTGAAGCACATTTCAGTGAGTATTGTACTTCTCTTCGGGCCTTAACTTTACTAATAAGAAGTATGTATCCTCACACTCATTAATTAAGTGATGATGAAGAAGATTGGGTAATTCACATGTCGGACATATGATGAAGTTACAAAAATTGCAGTAATCTGTTGCTCTTTTTTTTATTATAAATTAAAGGAGCATATGAATTATATAGTAATTTTGAGATAACTCTGGTAAATTGATCGTTAACTGCAGTTTTAAATTAAGATTAACATGTGCATTGGACATTATTATTTTAAAAAGGATGGGCCTTAACATTTTTATAAAAAGGTATAAATTTAATAATGTGCTAGGCTGTAAGTTGGCTTACAATTCTTAAAATCCACAGTTTATATTTAAATGTCAAAACGTTGATATGCCATATTTACCGCAAATCACAATATCCCAGATGTAATGTGCCCTAAAGTCATAAGCTTAAAAATAAAAATGAATGGGTAAGAAAATAAAGGATTATTCTATTAAACGCAGATATATGATCTTGCATGTTTGCCCGATTAACATCTATAGCAAGATACTGTTCAAACGCAGTTAAATGTTTAGTTTGTTAGATGATAATTGAAACATAAGACCTGATTGCTTTGTGGCAAATGTGGCAATTTCATCACTTTTTTGTTTTTCCATTCCGAGCTGTGGAACAAATATTACATTTGGAGATATACAGATATTTTTAAATTCTGCTGTAATAGCAGTTTATGTAATGTAATTCATTCAAATTAATATTTCTGTAGGCACACGTGCAGCGTGACTTTCCATCTCCACACTGCTTGGAGTTTGATGGCTACATTGATCTTGGCAAGCAGTTGAGTCTTTTGGCTGCTCTTCTACATGAATGTGTGGGAAAATTTGGACCTGGACACAGCGGAGAAATCCAGAGGCTTACACGGGTTCTTGACAGGGTGAGACTAGCACAGAGTCAGCCGGCAGGATTGATCCGTCAACACAGTTCACCCCCAATGCCTGGAATTATACCTTCACCAGGGCAGGGAGAACCAGGAAATAGGAATTCTGAACCAGCAGCACTTCAGGCCCTACAGAGGAACATCTTTAGGTATAACAGCACTTTATTCTCACATATGATGCAGGCATGTTGCAAATTCATAGCAATTCATAAATCTAGATAGAGGTTATCCTATTTATTGTTCCTTGGGGATATAAAAGGTTTTATCACAGAATGCAGGAAGAATTAAATGATAAAAATGCAGTATTTATTTTCAGAATAGTAGTTAACTTTACCATAGATTTTGGTTTTTTATTTTTTATTTTATCTTGAACCAGATCCATTATGTATGAATAGACTTCCATGAAATTTGATACTGATGCCATACTAAAATGAATTATCCAAAAATTATTTTATTCATCATTTGCAAAGACAAATGTTTCACAATAAAACTTGAATTCTTAAATGTGCCTCGTTAAAAGTCCAGTGGCCTAAAACATTTTTCAGAAGGGTGTAATCACTGATAAAATGCTCTGATTCTGAAGTGTGATATCTGTAGTTTTATTATGCTCAGAACAATAGATGTGTATATACAGTACATACCAAAGCCAGTATGGAATATATGATCATCAAAGTTCCTTTCCAGTATTATTATTTATAGTAAAGTGTTGATGGAAATGTGTCTACCTTGATTTGCAGGTTTAATGACCCTACAGTGTGCAATGGCGTTGTTTTGGGTCAGTTCCATAATGGACAACAGCAGCAACATCATCCCACCAGTGAAATGAGTGGCTCCATGATTGCCACCATCTCTGGTCATGTTACACGATCGCCTGTTGTACCCCGAGCGTCGACTCTGCCTCGTAATGCCTTTCTACCCAAGCTAGCAATGACATCAACTACTGCTGGTGATGAATACTGTGATCCACCTCCAGCCTATCACAGTCCTAGTCCCGCTCCACACCACTGTAGTGTTCATTGTCTCCCACCTGGTAGCCTGCAGCACCGGAGTGGCCGTTCTTCTTCTATCGCGAATGGTCTAAATGGAAATATTGCAACTGCTAATAGTAATGTAAATGGGAACCTGGATGAGCTGTCCGATCTGTTGCGTTACGCAGATGATGAGGCTCTGTCAGAACACAATACAAACAAGGGTAGTCAGATTTCTATTTCACAGCTCTCCAATGTGGCATCATCTGGGTATCAGAGTTTTGCATATAGTCAGAGCTCAAGTCCTGTGGATCTCACCATTGCAAATAACAATAATTCTACACAAGCAAACAGTGCTGTAAGCAACAACAACAACAATAATAATGTAAGCATTGTAGCATCGGCTCCACTTGCTTTTACCAACCCGGTGTATCACATGGAATTACAACAGCAGATGGCGACACTGAACGGACATCACCGTCATTTGCGTCGGCATCATTCTTGCAGTTCATCTTCTGAGGAAAATGGTGGTGGTGGAACACTGGAGAGGGTGGGTGGAGTGGATGCATCTCCTTTGCATTCAACACCTACACCCCCACCAGTTCACAAGTTCTCTTCAGGATTGCGAGCTCCTCGTACAAACCCACAGTGTGCACAGAGGAGTAACTGGCGTGCAGCTAATGGGCAAACTTCTGGTGTGTTGCAAACCCATCTTCATACATGCACTAGCACTCCAGGTAATCACCCGACTGTGTTTAGAATATTTAGCGCCATAATGGTTTTCTTATCTAACACAGGCTGAATGCAAGTTATAGTTTCACTCATTTGGCAAGGGCATCATTTTACTTGATACTTGATACTTGATGAGAAACAACCACTTAATTGTAAGACTTGAGGTTCTCACAGCGGTGAGTATGAATATTTCCGTCTTCTGGGTTGTTGCGCTGTGTAGTCTGGTCGATGTTAACCAACGTTTCAGAGGTCATACTGCCTCCGTCATCAGGGCGATGAATATGCCAATAGGGTGTGAGGTGCTAGGTTTATAGGCTGGAAAGTGAAAGGTGGATACATGGATCGGATAATCAGGGAAGCCATCGAGATCGAACTACATCCCGATAACTTTAACAGGGAAGATGGACTTCACCTGAGCCGGTCCTGGAAGCCTCTTATTCACACACTTCGAGGACTCCGCGAGCGAGCAAGAGTGCGCCGCCAGAACCAACCAGACCACTAGCATGGCCCTTTTCAGGGCCCTGATCCATACAACCAAACTCAAACTTGCTCTCTCTACTTTCTCTCCCACCCTCGCCCCCAGACCAACCAGACCACTAACATAGCCCGTTTCAGGGCCCAGATCCATCCAACCAAACTAAACCTTTCTCCCTCTACTTTCTCTCCCTCTCCCACTCTCGCCCACGTGCTACCATTGGTCCACTCCCATGCCTGCTCCCATTGACTCAGGGCAGGCTACACCTTTCACTTTCCAGCCTATAAACCTAGCACCTCACCCTATTGGCATATTCATCGCCCTGATGACGGAGGCAGTATGACCTCTGAAACGTTGGTTAACATCGACCAGACTACACAGCGCAACAACCCAGAAGACGGAAATATTCAACCACTTAATTGGTTCTGGGTTCTTGAGCATTTTATAGTTCCTCACATGGTAAAGAAAATTTGTCATGTTCACAAAATACCACCATTTCAATAAAGTTTGTATTTCCACAGCCAGTTTTACACGCTGTTATGTCTATGACTGGATCTTGTGTATGCTTTTGCTTCGAGATTTTTCAATCAGAATGTTTTCTGTATTCCTTGTCTGCAATCTACTTGTCCCACCTATCATACCCTTTTTGATTTAATTATCCTAGTAATGTTTTAGTGAAAGCACAAAATTTACTATAAATATTATTTTATTGACATATTACTTTTTAACGTCGCCCTCGGTGGACTAGTGGTTAGCGTGCTCACCACTGGACCCAAGGTTTGCGGGCTCTATCCCGGCTGAGTTCGATGGATTTTTAAGGGTGATTAAAATCCGTAGCACAACTTCCTTCGGAGAGGAAGTAAAGCCTGGGGTCCCGTGTCGTAGATTTACGGCATGTAAAAGAACCTTACGAGCATGATACAAGATGTTTCCTAAGCAAAATTCAGCAGCCATTTCTCACCCAAAAGTTTCCTGATTCACTGTTAGATGGCTCTGGCAGTCAAATCAGGATTGAGTAGAAATTGTGCAGAGTCAGTGGGCTGGTCACTCACTACTTCACGCACAACCAAGACCAAGAAACCTCCGAAAAGGAGGCGGTGAAAACCCACAACAGGGTCGTAGTGCCAAGAAACAACAACATTACTTTTTAACATCACTTTCAAATGAAATTATGAGTGAATTTTTCATAATAAATGGGATGGTTATGAAGTAGTAGTTTACACACTATATTATGTATAGGCCTACATTGGCACACGTGTTTTAATGCATCTTTATATATGTCTTGTAAACTGTTTCAGATCAACCTATTTCTACATGCTGTGCAAAGCTGAGGCGGCGGCTGTCTCTTGACTCAACTCGTGATCTTTCAGACTCGTCAGATGATGATAGCTGCCATGGTCAGCTCAATAAGCTTCGAAGCCCCAGGAATATTGAGCAGGTACCTGAATTGTTCTTTTTCTGTATTTTACTGATATTTCAAGAGGATGATGCATGTTCTGTGTGTCCTTTATAACTTATGAACACTTCCATGCAACTAATTACAGATAAGCACAGTCTCATTTACAACTTGTGTAATTTACCATTAAACCTCACAATGCCAGCTGATGTTTTATTCAAATCTGAGCTATCCAGGAATAAAAGAATTGTTTTCTGACACAGGTGACGTACATATGTGCATGGCTTTTCACTTCTGCTACAAGAGTAGCCTCGTGTAGCAATCCACAGTTTTGGATTTGGTGATAAGGACCATCATTGTAATTAGTGCTAGTACTTTATGCAGATACTGTTGCTGTTGACACTTATAATACAATTGCCACTTTTAAAATTTACAGTACAGACATTTAAAGCCTTTTTCTAACTGCAGCCATATTTGAAAAGTGCATTTCCACATGGTGTCCATAATTATAAATGAAATTGAACAAGGTATATGATCTGAAGCTTCAGTACCCTGAGGATGAGGACGAAGATGGTTCTTGAAGTGTTGGTGTTTTCTCCATTAAACCACCTGGCCTGGCTGGTAGCCCGAGGACAGAGGATTGAAGTATAGGACGGTACAGAATTAAATATAAAAGACAACTTTGTTTGCTTACAGTATGAACAAGAGATTGAACGATTGCAGAAGAATGTAGAATATTTGAAATTGAAGTTGGAACAGGCCGAACAGCAGCACGATCGAGAACAGCGAGGCTCGGGCATGGACTCGCCGGATATCGACTCCAGCGAGCGGGAATCAGTGCATGATGTGAGAGACCCACCAACTCCTGGCCAAGGAGACACAAACATGAAGAACATCATTGCAAGGTTAGCAGTAAAGTAGCACCACCACTTCCTCCCCCTAGTCTCCGAGCTTTCTTGCTGCCCCTGACGCCCTCATGCAGAGAGGCTGGTGGATGGTAAGAGGTCCAGACGGTTATAAGGAATGTGATAGGATGTGTGGGTGTGTTGGGGAGCGGTGGTGCACAAAATGATTGGTGGAGGACTGTATGGCGTAAGGCAGCGTTTTTCCCTGTTGCAGTAATGTATGAATCAGTTAACTCACAAGCTGTCAAACCACATTACGACTAGGCTTTAGGAAAATATACCAGGTAAGCTAAAAAATGTGCAGAAGCTTATGAGCTTTATCAGTATTAAGGAATTTTTTAAATTTCTTTATATCGGATTTCATCTGACAGCAGACAGAAATATTGAACAATTCTTTTATTAGTTTATTTTCTTCACCATGAATCCTTTCACGTACCACTGGTGTTATGCATACCGTACGTTTGGAAATGCTGGTGTAAGGTATAGGTTTTGGTGCTGAGGGCTCTGTGATGAGCATTGGAAGGAAAGTAATATCTGAAATGAATTGTTGGGCTGAGGAAAATCAGATGATACCTGCTCAGGAATCCCCATTTTGTTTATATGTGTTAACGTTCTAACAGAATTACTTTTCCACCTCTCGACACCCTAACTTTGGTTCTCCAGTTACAAGCAGCATTAAGAGGATGTTTTTCGTATCGTGCATTAAAGTAACTCTTGTTGATGGACTGAATTTTAGGTTAATCTCTGTTGAGGAAGAGCTTCGCCGTGAGCAGCAAAAGATGTCTGATGCATTGTCCCACAAACAGAGGGTTATTGAGGCACAAGAACATAAAATCGCTGCTTTAGATGCTGCAAATAATCGCCTCCTCTCAGCTCTGACCACCCTGAAGGATCGATATGCCCTTCAACAAGGTAAGAATGGAGCCCAGCGTCTGTTGGCAGAACTGAGTGAACTGAAGAGCTCGTCATGCTGAGATGCTCAGTGTACAGTTCTTTGCAAAGGAAGGCAAGTATCTGTTTGTCAAGAAGGGATGTAGTTAAATGTACCTGGTACTTGTACATTTTACTGATGATGCAAGTCCACCAAAGCATTAGATACAAGAATGATCAGCGGCTTTTTGTATGACTGGTAAGGTGCAATCAAGATTTACTGTTTATTTTAAGGGTTTGATTATTTTTTATAGAACAAAACTTATTGAGAAGTTTTATGGGCAAATTTGCTGTAGGTCCAATAATATTTTGAAGTTGTAATTCTTTAGTTAAACTTTGTGTAATATGTCATCTTTCAGAAGAAATAGCAACTTCGCCACTGTCATCAATCATTCTGTGCACATAAATTTATGCCACAATGATCAATACCAGGTACATACAACCCTTTATTAAAATGTCCAACTCCACATTTATTGCGTCTTATAAAATGGACGTATTTACCTCATCGTGGTTTAAGATGCCAGATACTATGAAGTCATGGTATCTTTATAATAAAGAGTATCTGTAAGATCGACTTCATTCGACAGTTGATACTTACCAGAATCATAGCTGGAACAGTATTTTCTGTAACTTGAGTCTTGTTGTCATATTTGATTGTGAATTGAGAGTCGTGGTTAGTGAAATGTGACTGTATCATATTCAGCTGTAGGGTATACGGACAACCAGATGTTAGCTAGTTATTGTACCTGTTTTTTATCAGCTGTTATATGAGGCTGTACTTTATTTTTGTTTTAAAGTATGGAGGAAAGTCATGAATAAGACAGTATTTTACCTATCTGCCATGCAGAAGTAATGTACGCGCGCTGTTTCATTAGTCATGCTGCACATCACTAAATGCTTTTAAAAAATGCACAAATTCATAATAATATGTACAGTAATCACTGACATGGATGTCTTGGCTACGTACATTTTAATAAATAAGTACAGTATGCCTTGATCGCCAGAGATTTAAACTTTTGAAAGTGGACCATTTACACTGTTCATGCATAAACACTCTGTATTAGAAATGGCTGTAACGATATTGTCGCATTAAGTGGCCGATGTTTTCTTGTCTGACTGTGGCAATTTTGTAATAAACAAGTATGACAGTAGTACAACTCTGCGACTGTTATTTGCATACGTGAAACGCTGTTCGCATCTAGCATTCCGTAGTCAAAATACAATTACAACTATTAGGTGGTATAAGAAACGCTTTCAAAATTATCATTGCAAATATATGTGGTAAAATTTTCAGTATATTGTCATGCTTTGATCTGTAGCAATTGGTCATTTTGAATGTATGTTTTATTATACACTCTATATTGTACTCGTTCTTGAATTTCTTTGCATGTGTTTGTTTAGGGATACAACAAAATAATTTACGGCCATTGCTATTATTAATGCAGCGTAGTGAGGAAGCAGTCGGCTGCTTTAGTATTATCCTGTGTGTATTTTGTAGATTTCTCATTACCAAAGATTAGTTGTTTGGCATCATAAATGCCAGGTTGTTTCTGTATATGTTTGGGAAATGATTTATATTGTGGTCTGTGAAACATGGCAAAATAAAGGTTCTACTACAAACATGTACATATAAGCCATATCAGTATAGGATGACATACAATAATTTATGTTTTTTACCTTTGTTAAATGTTTTTGTGTGCTAGAAAGGTCATTTAACTATCTAAAAATTGAAACGGTAGTTGTTTCTGATAGTATTTTTTTGCGTTAATTTTTCTAAGAAACTACAACAGACTTGCCATGATTGAGCTGAAGTTTTTTTATCTAGCGCTTCTTATTGTAATTGTATCAGTTTTTGTGTGATACACAAATAATGTATATCCACTCCTTCCCATTTTTTTGTAAGTGTAAATTTGAATGTAGATTATATGAACTGTACACAATATTTATCACATTACACAAGTAATTTAAAGCTGTTTACTTCATTATGTAGTATTTATTATGAACATTTCTTTCCTTTCAGTATTGTTTCCAAGCTAGGAAAAGCTTATGCTTAATTGGGGATGTGTGAACATATTAGATTTTGAAATGAAGCTTGTTTTTGTGCGCGTTTTGGACAATTTCCAGCATTTTTTGAACATTTTGAAAATTTTCAAAATTCCACCACCTGATGCTTTGCGGAAGCGGTCCCTCTCGGACTGTTTCTGATGAAGCGTGTCTCTGACGAATACGGTCTGTGCATGTCTCGGGCTCTGCACGGACCGGTCT